TTTTTCTCTACACTTCTCTTCTCGCTTCATTTCATTCGTTCAATCTTCAGTCGCTGATAATCTTTCTTCCAGTTGATCGAGTCGGTTACTGAAGCTTGTGCATTTGTCATGTAGTTCTCGTGTCATGGTTTTCATCTCTATCCATTCTTTTAAGGTCTTCTGTGCATTGATTATTCTAGTTATCCATTCATCCATTCCTTTTTCAAGGTTTTTAGTTTCTTTGCGCTGGGTACGTAGTTCCTCCTTTAGCTCTGAGAAGTTTGATCGACTGAAGCCTTCTTCTCTCAACTCTTCAAAGTCATTCTCCATCCAGCTTTGTTCCATTGCTGGCAATGAGCTGTGTTCCTTTGGAGGGGGAGATGTGCTCTGATTTTTTGTATTTCCAGCTTTTCTGCATTGCTTTTTCCCCATCTTTGTGGTTTTATCTGCCTTTGGTCTTTGATCATGGTGACATCCTGATGGGGTTTTGGTGTGGGTGTCCTTTCTGTTTCTTAGTTTTCCTTCTAACAGTCAGGACCCTCAGCTGCAGGTCTGTTGGAGTTTGCTTGAGGTCCACTCCAGACCCTGTTTGCCTGGGTATCAGCAGCGGAGGCTGCAGAAGATAGACTATTGCTGAACAATGAGTGTTGCTGTCTGATTCTTGCTCTGGAAGCTTCGTCTCACAGGTGTACCTAGCCATGTGAGGTGTGAGATGTCAGTCTGCACCTAGTGGGGGATGTCTCCCAGTTAGGCTACTCAGGGGTCAGGGACCCACTTGCGCAGTCAGTCTGTCCATTCTCAGATCTCAACCTCCATGCTGGGAGAACCACTGCTCTCTTCAAAGCTGTCAGACAGGGACATTTACCTCTGCTGAAGTTTCTGCTGCTTTTTGTTTAGCTATGCTCGGTCCCCAGAGGTGTAATCTACAGAGGCAGGCAGGCCTCCTTGAGCTGCAGTGGGCTCCACCCAATTTGAGCTTCCTGGTGGCTTTGTTTATCTACTTAAACCTCAGCAATGGTGGGTGCCCCTCCCCCAGCCTGGCTGCCACCTTGCAGTTAGATCTCAGACTGCTGTGCTAGCAATGAAGGGAGGCTCCATGGGCGTGGGACCCTCTGGGCCAAGTGTGGCATATAATCTCCTTGTGTGTCGTTTGCTAAGACCCTTGGTAAAGCGCAGTATTAGGGTGGGAGTTACCCGATTTTCCAGGTGTTGTGTGTCTCAATTTCCTTTGGCTAGGAAAAGGAATTCCCTTCCCCCTTGTACTTCCCAGGTGAGGCGATGCCTCGCGCTGCTTCAGTTCTCGCTGGTTGGGCTGCACCCTTGAACCAGCACCGACTGACACGCCCCAGTGAGATGAACCTGGTACCTCAGCTGAAAAGGCAGAAATCACCTGTCTTCTGTGTCATTCATGCTGGGAGCTGGAGGCTGGAGCTATTCCTATTCGGCCATCTTGGGCACACCCCAGATTTTCAGGATCTTGATAACCTGTTTCATAACCTTAGGTAGTTGTCAGCTAAGTAGCCTTAAATTTGCATATTAAAGGAAACAACTCAGGTGAAAATCAAATAGCAAAATTTGCATCATAAGATAGAGAGAAAAAGTCTAGAGGGAGATTAAAGATGAATGCCAAATCAAACGTAAAATTATAAAAATCTATCATAGGATTGCATAAGGAGACCAATTTTATTTAGAGATTACCTATCTATCTTTTAACCAGATCTCTGAACCCTGGGCAGAGCCCACACTGAATCCTGGGTTTCCAAAAAGGGAGAATTTTTGTGAGGCTAGACCATGTGATGTTTTTATGGTGCACTTTAAAAAATTTTTTTACACAAAGATATTTCTAAGTGTTTAAACTACACTTTTCTTTAAAAACTGAAGCTAAGCCTCTGTTGCAATAACTATTTTAGTCAATAAATCAGGTAACAATACAAAAGCAAGCAGTTTAAAAGCTGAGATGAACTTGTCTGTTTATACTCTTGAAGTTCCATAAGGAGAAACAGGTTTCTCCCTGAAAGGGAGTCTGATGCCTTCTCCATTTTCTTTAAGGAACCCCAGGCTATTATAAAGTATTTTTGGTCCCTCATGAAGCAGAGGGTGAAAGAGAAAGGAGAGACTGCAGAAGTAAAGGAAGAAAACAGAATCCAGTCAACTGAGAAGAAAAAATTTTTTTAAAAAGGGTGCTGGGCATGGTGGCTCATACCTATAATTCCAGCACTTTGAGAGGCCAAGGCAGGTGGATCAACTGAGGTCAGGAGTTCAAGACCAGCCTGGTTAACATGGTGAAACCCCATCTGTACTAAAAATACAAAAATTAGCTGGGCATGGTGGTGTGTGCCTGTAATCCCAGCTACTTGGGAGACTGAAGCAGGAGAATCCTTTGAACCCAGGAGGCTGAGGTTGCAGTGAACCACGATCACACCACTGTACTCCAGCCTGGACAACAGAACAAGACTCTGTCTCAAAAAAAAAACAAAAAAAAGGACAAGGTCCTAGGGGAGAAAAAAGAAATAAAAACATGAAGTCCTCTTAAATACAAACACATGCAAACGTACAGACCCACATCGTGGATGGTAGTTTTCAATTAAGCTGACTTTAACCATTGAGTTCCTTTAAAAAAAAATACTCTTTAAATCTCATTTCCATATTTCACGAACTAGGACAAATTGCCGCTATTTCAGAAGTACCAAGTATCAAACCAGAAAGGGCTTGATTTAGTAACCAAACCTCAGGCTGTCATGGTGGGAAAAGAAAAGGCAGAACCTTAGCTATTGAAATGCAGCATGGGGTGACTGCCATTGCTTTCAGTTTGACCTGGCTAGCAAAAAGGTGGCTTTGTTATGTAAATAAAGCCCCTTAAGTAATCAAAATAAAAAATCTTTCCTTTTTTTTTTTTCCTTTTTCTAGCTGTTTTTCTCCCCCCACTATACCACCTTACCATACTACCTGTTTTGTGTGTGTCTATGAGAATTTAGCCACTTCAGAGGCCTTGTTCCCCATAATTTGGAACTTTCATTCGGATTTGATCAAGTTGGGTGAAGTTGGTTAAACCCAATGGGAAAAAGACTGAAACAATATCAAAAACAGAAACAATAAATAAAAAACCAGTTAAGCAAAACAAATGATTACACAACTTATATGAATACTGAATGCCCTAATGGTAAAGAGACATTAAGAGCAGCTGGTTGTTAATGTTAACTTTAGCCAAGACAAACCCCGATTTAGTTAGTTATCTAGGGGTGGGTGGGTCTCAGACTGAAGACTGCTGTCTAGCCTAATGAAGCAGCCTTGTTGTCTGGGGTGATACCTGAGGTTCATTGTCTCATGCAGAGGAAATCAAGGACATGGACACACATGGAGCGAGGTTAAAAGCAGAGAATTAATAGGCAAAAGGAAAAGAGCTTTCTCCTGCAGAGAGAGGGGTCCCAAATGGGTTTCTGCTTCCTCAGTGAAATGCAGGAGGTTTTACAGATGAGCCTGAGGTGGTGTTTGATTTACATAGGGCATGAAAGATTGCTTGGACCAGGTGTGCCATTTGCATAAGGGTGCAAAAAACTGGCCACCTCCACCCTAATCTTTTATTATGCAAATAGGTTATCTTCCTGGCCAGCACCATGTTGCCTGTGTCTTTACTGTACACATGGTGACAAAAGGGAAGATGGAGCCTCCACGTTGAACATACCTGGCTACCAGGTAGCCATTTTGTATTGGCACAGCTGCCAGCAGCAACCTGTGCAAGCTTCCAGCTTGCTTATCTATGTTTGCAGCTCAATTTTTCAGGCTGCTCTTCATTAGACAAAAAAAAAAAATGTTTCTTGGGCTGCTTTCTGTTAGAAGGGAAGCCTTGCTGAGGACTCTTTTACCCTCACTATCTGCCTAAATAACTTTTCTATCTTCTGTGTCACTAGGAGCAGGAAAAAAAAACTCATCTTCCCTTTTGGAAGGGAAACTCCGTAAAGGAGTTACCTGCGTTCCATCATCATGGAAGCAAGAAAACGTGTCTTCCTTGTATTGGAAGCAACTAAAACTCCAAAAAAAAGTTGTGACAGCAAAATAAACTTTAGATCTCAACCAGAATTGGGGAGATCAGGGATTCTCTGGAATGGGTGCTTCCAGGCCTCAGCAAATTGTGCTGTTGGTTTAAGCCATAAAGATAGCCCAAGACTCAACCAAGCACTGATAGATTTATCAAAGGTTAGGGACATCTCCACTCAGAATCCCTCTGTGGTTACCAAAATGTGAACCCTGAAAATTTGAGACAGGTCTCAGTTAATTTAGAAAGTATTTTGCCAAGGTTGAGGATGCACGCCCATGACAGAGCCTTGGGAGGTCTTGATGACATGTGCCCAAGGTGGTCAGAGCACAGTTTGGTTTTATACATCTTAGGGGGACATGAGACATGAATCAACATATGTAAGATGAACATTGGTTCGGTCTGAAAGGTGAGACAACTCAAAGCAGGGAGGGGGTTTCCAGGTCATAGGTAGATAAGAAATAAATGGTTGCATTCTTTTGGGCTTCTGATTAGCCTCTCCAAAGCAGGCAATGAGATATGCATTTATCTCAGTGAGCAGATGTGTGAGAATGAGAGGCAGGTTTGCCCTAAGCAGTTCCCAGCTTGACTTTTCCCTCTAGCTTAGTGATTTTGGGACCCCGAGATATTTTCCTTTCACAATAGGAATGAATATGTTGCGATCATTGTCTTGATGACAAACATTCTGTCCCAAGATTTGTTGACACATGATGAATGTGCTGTGTATATTTAATCTTAATCCCAAGGAAAATATTAATTTTAACACTAATGACGATAAATGGGCATTGTACTCACATAGTGTTCTTACTCCCAGGGGCACAAAGCTCTTCACAATTATTTAGTCATTCTCATAGCAGTCCCATGAGGTGGGTGGCTGAGTGTTTCCTCTTGGGAAAAAAAAAAGAAAAAAGGTTACTAATTGGATTTTCTTCTGTTCCACATTCTGTGTTCTAGAACCAAGTAGCTACCTTATAAAGACCATCTGTACATCCACTGTGAAATGGAGTTCCAAAATCACAAGCTTCTTTCACACATGAACACAAGTCTAGGAGCACATATGAAAGAGTAAAGTTGAAGGGAATTTGGATGATGGTTTGGCAAGATGCTGTAAGTGGATTAGGTAAGGCTGCTAAAGAGATACAGGAAATGGCTGTGTTTGTGCTTCGGACCGACCTCCGTTAGAAGTAGTAGTTCATGGTGTTGAAGGTTTGTTGTTGAAAATACCTTCCTGAGGCACCTCTTCATTGTGCTTATTCTTCCCACAACATTGTGCCAAGACGCTGTCAAGCCAGAGGGCCACTGGGCCTTTCTTATCCTGCTGTAATGTATTGATAGCTGGGGGCTCTGCAGAAGGACAAGAGAAAGGTGAGATGTTTGTAATTCTCAGTAGCACCTTTTAGCTAGTCTCATGCTCCCTTATCCCCTATTTCTCTACCAGGCCAGCTTTCCATATGCTTTTGCTTTCTCAGAATCAGAGCCTGTGTGTGGACACATCTTGTCCCGGGAGCAGGGAAACAGTACAACCAAACCTCTCACTTTATCTAGTGACCAGCACATCCCACTCCTTCCTTTCACAATATGCCAATCAGTCTTCTTCAGTAGTCTTTCATCGTTTTAGCCCTGTCTCTTTGGTTAGACTGCAAGCTCTTTGGCTGAATGTTCAGGTCAGGTGTTTTTCACTCCTTTTAATTTCCCCTACATAGCCCTCAGCACTGGGGCATTTAGGAGTACAGTAAACACTTGTGGCTTATTTGCCACCCATAATTGTAAACAGGCATTGCCTGTACATATTGACTGCCATTTTCACTTTTTTTTTCTTTCATTAAATAAAGGCTTGGCTGTCATCACTTTGAGTTTGTCCTCCTCAGTTTTCCCTGAAGTTACCCTGAAAGGGGGTGGGGGGCGCTTTAAAATGCAGTGGATTGTGCTTAAGTTGAGCAGTGTATCCAGGGAGGGGACTAATTACAAGGTTTGAAAACCTCATCAGGTGGCTGGCTTCTGTAGCAGGACTAAAAGACTGCTCTCCTAAATTGAGAACAGCTGGGGCCGTGTACGAGCAAGTATAAAAGAGGTGGCAGTGGCGCCCTGTGTCCTAAAGAAATGTGTGCTCTCTGGAACCTGTGAAGCTGAAGCCAAAGGTAGTTATCCTCATCAGTGTCGTGGTGGGTGAGTCCCCTGAGCTGGTCCTCTGGAGGCCCGTTTCTATTGTTTGGTAGAAATTGTGGTGGCTGCATCAAAATGTCGTTAGTTACTAATTTATCATGCCAATTGTAGTGAGGTATTTTTATCCTTCAAATAAATTCTACTTGTTACCTGCGTGAGAGACATAGCTAAAGCTTGGTGTATCTTTTCAGAGTTATTTTGAAGACTGCCAGCTTTTCTTGTATATGGCATGCATCTCTGAATATAAAAGGATAAACTGAGGCTGTGCCATTTTAAATATCTTGAATGTGGTGTTCTTGAATCTGTTCTTGAAAGCGAGCACTTAAAAAGACTTGTTTTTTAATTAGAAAATAGAAAATTGACTATTTTGACAAATGCAGAGAGTAACAATTATTCAATGCATATAAGCCACTTACCAGTTTTGTATTCTTTCTTTATGGCTCATAGAAAATACAGTCTTTGGAAGGATTGATGTGATCTCTGGGTAATTTCTAGCTTATTATGACTTCATGGTTAGCAACAAGTGATAGTGTCTGATGAAGTGTTTGCAATGTTGGGTCCTGATTTTTCTTTAAGGAAATTTAAAGGGAACTGATTGTTAAAATGTTCCCATTTCCTATTTCTACCGATACTAGCTCAAAAAGAGATGAGAATTCCAAGATAAAACAGTTCAGTATTTTGTAAATCAACTTGATCTCGGCAGCTTTAACTAGGTTCTGACATTATGTTTATAAAGCAAATGACTTTGGTATTTGTTTCCTTATTTTAAGAATTTTTTTTTTTTTGGATGGTTGATAATTGGACAAGCATAGTTTCTGAACATAATTTTGTTTTTCTTTTAGGTGGGATAGTAACATCTTTTTGAGGGAAGAATTGGCTTCCTTTCTTGAAAGTGGTGAAGGTACAGCATATAGTTGCATGGAAGGAACAGTAATCAGATGGCTACCTTCTACCTTTTGTGTTAGGAAACAAAGTCCATTGTAAGAGTCCATGTTGATCTTGGAAATAGAAGGATTGAAAAAAGCTAAATTTCCACAAAGAACAAGAACTTGACCATCTCCTTTTTGATCTGAAGACTAGGGGACAATGGATATCATAGAGACAGCAAAACTTGAAGAACATTTGGAAAATCAACCCAGTGATCCTACAAACACTTACACAAGACCCACTGAACCTGTTGAAGAAGAAAACAAAAATGGCAACGGTAAACCCAAGAGCTTATCCAGTGGGCTGCGAAAAGGCACCAAAAAGTACCCGGACTATATCCAAATTGCTATGCCCACTGAATCAAGGAACAAATTTCCACTAGAGTGGTGGAAAACGGGCATTGCCTTCATATATGCGGTTTTCAACCTCGTCTTGACAACCGTCATGATCACAGTTGTACATGAGAGGGTCCCTCCCAAGGAGCTTAGCCCTCCACTCCCAGACAAGTTTTTTGATTACATTGATAGGGTGAAATGGGCATTTTCTGTATCAGAAATAAATGGGATTATATTAGTTGGATTATGGATCACCCAGTGGCTGTTTCTGAGATACAAGTAAGTAAATCTAATGTTTTGGGGATTTGCCATGGGTTTGTTTTTGAGTGAATAGATGAGCAATTGAGATCATCTTTCCTTTTTATTCCAATAAATTCAGTCTTACCCAAACATTTGATGAAAGAAAGCAGTAGAAAGCTCTACCACATTGAATAAATTCAGTCACTATTCAGTAAGTGTTTGTTGAGCAACTGTGTATGAAAGTGGCAGTGTACAGCAGTACTGTGGTGGGTGACTCAGAGTTGATGAATTTAAGGTGCAGTTCCTGACTTCCAGCTATGGTATTTGTATGATAAATCAAGAGGCTTGGAAAGGAATAACATTCACTTCCATCATGTTTGTTATTTCAGGCTCTTGACAAGTGGGAAAAGGAATAGGTTGAGAAACTTTTTTCTCCATTACTCATAATGTGATGTCTGTATTGGTCTAGAGTCAATAGCCTGCTTTAAGGTTTGCCTGGATTCAGTTCTCAAATTTTACATTTCTGTGGGGCTGGGTGTGTGGGTGTGGTTTTGGTTTTTTGTTTGCTTGCTATCTAGTTACAAGAGTTTAAGAAACTGAGTTTAGAACTGAATCCATGCGGTTTTGATTTTTAGATTTCTAAAGTAAACTTGCCCTCTGGTTTTCCTTGGACATCACAAAGGAGCTCATGGTTCACTGGGTTCAGCCTCCTCATTTTTGGAATAGTAGGAAATCAAGAAGAAATAAGTCAGGTACTTTTGCTTTGAAGACACTTAAGAATTGGACATAGCCCTGAAGTGGTTATTTCTGCTTCTCTATGTGAATTCTGACTCCTAGTCCATAAAAACAAAGGCTCCTTAATTCCTCCTTTCCTCTCATTCATCATTTAGACATTTGTTTTCTACTGGGTGGTAGTGATTAAATCACTAAAATATGATTTTGATCAAAACACTGACCATAATATGGAGTTTAAAAATGTAATATATGCTAACTTGTATACAATCTGAAGATTCCAGGTCAAATAGGATTTCAGTATTCATGCCACAAGATCATTCTTAGAGAATTTTGGCTGTATTGTTTTTCAGTTGGTAACATTTTTCATTACTTGATCACTTATAGGACTCTCAGTGTGGTATATCCACTCAGACCCTAACACTGTTACTGTTTTGTGATTAGAGGAATTCAAAGAGTTCCCCAAATGCAACTTTGCAGTCTTAAAACCTTATTCCACAAACTGCAGTCATTCCTAAGCATTTTCCTTAATATAACTCTTCATGTGTTTCCTTAATATGCTTAAGTAATAGACTTAACTATGAGTTGTCTTTTACTTAAAAAAGTAACCTGCTCCTTAAATTGTTAAAGGATGCTTTATGCTAAAAGCAAAAAATGTATTTATGAACTTCAGTGTTTTTCTTTTTAGTGTCTGGAAATTAACACAATGTAAGAGAGCCTGCTAAGGCTGCAGATAATTTGCTTTCTCCTTTATTTAGAGCAAGGTTTTATTGATATATGTGTGAAACGAGAAATTGTCCAGGATCTGGTAAGTATGTGGACTCCACCCTGAAGTATAGTTTTTCCCTCAATTTAGCTATATTTTCATCTAGATTCTTTTTGAATTTTCATTAGATAGTTATTGTTAACTGCCTGTACTTACCACCTTAGATTTCAACATATCCAAACACAGGGTCACATAGCCGGACCATACATTTTAATGATACCCACTGTTTCAGTTGCAATTCACACAAGTTTGCCTTTTTACATTTGAAGTAGAATTGGATCTTACATTTTAGTAACTAGTAGAATAATTTTTATAACCTGTTTTGAGCATCCCAGCTGAATGAGGAATGTTGCTTACTCTCTCTTTTAAAAGCACCTTTCAAAGCTCTGGTAAAAAAAATCATTAGCACTAGTTCATTTTCTAAATAAGGCTGTAGAGTACATCTTTCACCTTCTAAGTTTTCTGTTTTGAGTACAGCTGAACTCAGAATGCTGGGATGAATGTAATTGACTCATAATAATTTCTGCTTATTACTTCACCTTGTCTAACAGCATGGAGCACAATTCAAAACAGCACTCTGTTGGAACCTGAGGTTGGATCAAAGGCTGAATTGGTTTTCCCTTAACCGAGGGGAGAAGCTCAGCACTGTTTATTACCTGCTCCTTTTTAGTACCAGGAAAGGCAGAACTAGAATAGCAAACCTTTAAAGAAATGCCTTAGGGATAAATAAATACTCTCATCTACCAGTCTAGGTGGTGTTCCCTTCTATTTTTTTTTCTTTTGACCCCAGAAACCTTGGAATACTCTTAAAATAGCTATTGGAAACAGACAGCTGAAATATATATTTACACATAATTCTTGAAATTAGAAGTTCCAGATGGTACCTGAGTTAGACCTTGATTCATGTCAGAACCACAATCTTAGGGAAAACTTAAAATATGTCACATTACCTGACACTGCCGGTTTTTCCCAAAGTCTTTGATCACTACCAGTCTTGAAAGCTTGAGAGCTCTGAAAATGAGAGACCTCGAGTAATATGTTTTATGTACTAAGGAAATAACACCTAGCAAGTCTAAGGGCTTTATGTGGAGTCCCACTCATCTCTTAATCCCCAGAGCCCAGAGCTTATAGACCTAACTATACAACAGAAAAGGAGCTGTCCTGTTCAGCTGGACTGAGGACATTCAGACCTGTGATGCCCATTCAGATACCCATGAGGCAATGGTACAATGGCAGAGCCCTTCCCCTTTGAAGACAGGATCCTCAGTCATCCACCGGGAAGCCTGGCTTAGGCTGAGGACTCAGGTCATGAAGCACAGGGGCTAATGTTAGTTAAGACAACTTTCTTCCCACAGAAATATAAAGTGAAAAATGACTTGTGGGATTTTTTGTCCTTTTTTGATCAAGATTGAATAAAATAATCAGCTTACAATTCACTATTAAATGTAATTAATTGTATGAGAACACTTATGGACATTTTCAAGATAGAGTTTTTTGAAAATCTATTTAGCCACAGAGAGAATAGTTCATGCCTGTGTTGTCAAAATACCTTCAGATGGTCCTCAAATAAACCCTGCTTATACCGTGGGTTAAATGTGTTGTCACATTTCCCTATGTGTCTAATGATGTAATGTCACCTTGACTCATTAGTTAATTCCTCTGTGATCGTAGCTTGCTTATTCCTTTCATATGTTCTCAAGAGAGGGTTTTAATGCAGTGAGTTGACTGAAAATACAGACAGGTTCATTGAATTCTCTGGTAAAGAGTGCCTTTGAGGAGAGGTGATTACGTAGACTCTTCGTCTACTTTAGTTCCCCCACTCCACACACACACATCCTTTGGAAGTCAAACCACCTAGATTTATTGCAGTAAGTGAATCTTCATTTTGAAAACTGTGGTGCAATCTCTCCATGGAACTGTAGGGATGGGCAACTCACAAGTAAGCCTTTAAACTCTGTGAAACTGTGGTTTGTTTGTTAATGCCATTCTGTACCGATTATTCTTTATCCTGTTAAACATTGTTTTATTTTTCATTAGGAATAAAAACAAACAGTAAACCTGTTTTCCCCATCCCTATTTTTTCCTTTAGGTCAATAGTGGGACGCAGATTCTGTTTTATTATTGGAACTTTATACCTGTATCGCTGCATTACAATGTATGTTACTACTCTACCTGTGCCTGGAATGCATTTCCAGTGTGCTCCAAAGGTCAGTACTTCCAAACTACCACTTAGAAGAAACCAGGCAAACAGTCATTGATCACTTACCCTTTATTATACATTCTTCTAGACACTTTCCTATGTGTTAACTGAAATCTAGCATCTTTTCTGTCTTCTATTTAGATTTGAGAGGAAGAAATTAAAATGTATTTATAAAATATATTTTGTGCTAAAAAAAAATATTTTCTGCTAACTGAAAATTACCATTGGGGGTTTGACTCTACTTTGTTACCTTCTCATTTACTTATTCATTAATGCATTCATTCTACAGGCATTAAGCTTATGTACCAGGGATTGTAGTAACCCAAACAATGTCCCTCTTCTGGAGCTTATATTCTATTAGGGATGACAAATTATAAACAAAGTCATAATTTGTCACATGATGATAAGTCAGGTGATTGTCACATGGAGAACAGCAGAGCTGAGTAAGGTGAAAGGGTGCTTGAGGGTTCTATTTGATATAGAGGTCAGGAAAGGCTTCTTTAATAACAAAGCAGTTGGGCAGGAACCAAGACCAGGAAATGAGGCATGTGGATGGCATGAGAGCTCTAGGCTAAAACACTGCTTATTCACAGTGAATAAAGGAAGAGTAGGGAGGCCGGTGTGTCAGAGTAGAGTTGTGAAGGGTCGGGGTGTGCAGACCACAGATCACATAGGGTCTCGCAGTGCGGTATAGGAACTTCAGCCTTAGCGGTAGCAGTGGAAATAATGAGAAGTTGTTCAGTTCGGGATATAGGATATGCTTAATAACTTGGATATGGGTTTGAGAGAAAGGAGTCAAGGATGACTCCAAGGTTTTTAGCAGCTGGAAAGAGAGAGTGGCCTTTGAGTGAGAGAGTGCGTGAGGATGTCTTCTGAAACCGTCCTAAGAAGGAATTACAGTTTATCGAGGAAGAGCGAGTTCTTGAGAGAGCTGTTAATCATCTCGGACTTCAGTGCACCCTGGTTTACAAAATGGAAAATTACAAATCATGTGCTTTCTGGACAAAGGAATGAAGTCTAACATCATATTTTACTGAACACTAAGCAGATGTCTGAGGTGAAAGAAAAATCGAGCTTCTCTGAAGACGTCCACAGTCTCCCTCACCAAATATAGGTGTGGTTGGAGAAGCTATACTTTTCCAAAGCCATCAAAGCAGAAAATGTCTGTAATTAAAACAGTGTACATATTGAATTTAAACACTGGCTGATTTTAGTGAAGCTAATTTAAGGCATAGGAGAAGTTCAGAAGTGTAATAAACACTTCTAAGGGGCTATTGCAATGTGTTAAATGGAGAAATGGCCACAGAAAAGAAGGCAAACCCATCTTAGTAACGGATGAGGTTTGCAGGATGAATTGCTATGATTATAGAAAGAAAGTAAATTAAAGATTGTCCTCCGTGGAAGAGTTGCAATCTTCAGAAGCCACATCAGTGCTGTTGGATAGCCAAGCTACAAATAGTCATAGTGGAACCTCTGGTAACATCCTTACTAATCATCTCCCAGGTTCACTTGTTGGGACCCCTTCCTGAAGCATAAGCAAGCTATACATGCCTGAATCATGGTTCAGTAAAACAAACACAAATCACTTGGTTTGACTAGAGGTGAGGTGGTGTCATAGAACAGGCATCAGAGTTGTGTTCTGAATTTGGTTCGTCTGCTGGCTTTGGGTGCTGCTTAGATGTTTATGGTTACAAAGCTATTAGATAATCTACTTGTCTCCTGTGTTGCTGACTCTATAGAATGTCCTTCATGACTATAAGGAATATCAGAACTTTGTATATGGAAGCCACTCACTATGGAAAAGTGTCATATCTGTTACAGTAATTGATGCCTGTACAACTTGTAACTCACCGGACATGCTTACAAGAGCCATCATAGTGAAAGCTTTGCTTTCCTAGTTTTCCAGTTGCCTTCTCCTTTATGTATCCTATGGTTCACTTTTAATTTTTTCTTAGAATTTGCTTTAATCTCCAATCCAAGTTTTGATTGACAGTCGGACAATCTGTGTTCTTCAAAGTGTGTTTAGATAAGTGTTGGCCCAGTTATTATAAAATGATTACATGAAATGATTTAGCTTTGCAAACCTATTTTTCCACATATAAGAATGTTTGGCTGGGAGAGCAACATTCCCCTTCCCTGAGAAAGCTTTCTAGGGCGAGTTATCCCTCACCTTGGCCACAGGTGGCCAAACACCTACTTTTTTTTTTTTTTTGAGACAGAGTTTTGCTCTTGTTGCCCAGGCTGGAGTGCAATGGTGCAATCTTGGCTCACCACAACCTCCACCTCCCAGGTTCAAGCAATTCTCCTGCCTCAGTGTCCCAAGTAGCTGGGATTACAGGCATGTGCCACCACACCTAGCTGGTTTTTTTTTTTTAGTAGAGACAGGGTTTCTCCATGTTGATCAGGTTGATCTCGAACCCTCGACCTCAGATACTTACCTTCTTAATGGAAGAAACAATGTAGATGATAAGCTTTCCTACTTGGCAGCAGCCAAGTTGGTCTCTCCTATACCTAATGTACCACCCATTGCACTCCAGCCTGGGTGAAAGAGCAAGACCCTGTCTCAAAAGGTCTTTCTGTATTTCTCTCCCGTGTATTCTATTACATGATTTTTTTTCTGAGCATTATTCTTTGATTTTCTCAATCAATTTGCTCTACACTCGTCTGATCTGAATCCCCCACCCAATCTAGCCCCTCAATAATTCAGTATTCCAATTTTCTGTGCCTACAGTTTTGACCAACTCCTTCCTGTATGATTAAATTGTAATGGAGTACAAACCTCTCCAGCCCTTGGCCTAGCCCAGCATTGTTTCTCATGTCATCACAGTGGCTTTGTGGGGCTGCTGCACCTTGTCCAAAGGAGCTCTCCTAGCCTCCTGCCATAGCACACAGGCTATTTCTTTAGGGATGTTTTTCCTAATCAAAGCTACTCGTTTTTAAAGCTGCCAGTGCATCCCTAATCCATCATTTTCAAACCTATTTAAATTATTTAATAAGTTGCAACTCCTCTTCTTAATTGTAAATGTTTTGATCAGACATTAATACAGCTATATGTCTGTCCACTTTAGGCTGCCCACCTAATACAAGGTACCAATTCACTGTAGAGAATATTGGTAATGTGGTATGCAGCTGAATCAAATATTAACCATTCAAAACCCTCACTTCCCCCTGCAAAAAGGAAAGAAAGTAGCTTTGATCTGCTTTTTAGCACATAGTTGTGGTGAAGTCATTGGTTATTAATATTTTTAAAAGCTTTGCCCAAGGACACACCACCACCAAGACATATTATTAGTAACATATTGAATAATTTAAAACATGTCAATAAAACTTGCCAATAAATGAATAAAACCCAGTTTGAGGAGCTTCTCCTTGGATTATTTTTGACTTTTTAGGTTAAAAAGAAAAAAAAAAAAATCACAACCTGGTGTCCTTTCTAAGAGTCACACAATTAGACTGAAACATGATTTTAGCCAATTGTAAATTCCCTTCTTAATCTTCTTGTGTCGTTCAGCTTAATGGAGACTCTCAGGCAAAAGTACAACGGATTCTACGATTGATTTCTGGTGGTGGATTGTCCATAACTGGATCACATATCTTGTGTGGAGACTTCCTCTTCAGCGGTCACACGGTTACGCTGACACTGACTTATTTGTTCATCAAAGAATGTAAGTAATAGCCCATTCCCACTGAACTGATATCTGTAGTGGGAGGGGTCCCTGGGCTGTGAAATTGATAGGAGCCCTTATTCTCTTGGGATTGATAAGCTGTGAAAGAGACAGGGGTGTGTGTGTGTGTGTGTGTGTGTGTGTCTGTCTGTGTGTCTGTGTGTGTGTGAATATATGTGTGCGTGTGTGTGTATATATATATATATATATAATTTCAACTAGTCGTATGTGATTTGAACCCTGAAGGCTTAAAACTTGGCCCTGGCTTCTTTCTAGCATTTAACATGCCTCTAAAACATCTCCCTTCTTGGTTAGTACTTCTTAAGGTATGAAAATCTATCAATATTAGAATTAATTGTTAATTTTATTGCAAAAAGGATTGGTACATTCTAAAGACAGTTGTAATGACCTTTGCATTATTTGTAGAACACTTCCATTCTAGCATTCCAAATAATTCAGTTAATGTGTTCCTCTTTTTAAAACATTTCCAAGTCCCACTTTATTCTAATTTCATCATTTTCCAGCACTTTCTATGCTTTCATAGGAGTCTTCATGGACCATTTTGCCAATACTGATTATTTTCTTCTCAAGAAGAAATGTGGTGGCAAAAAATAAAAATCTTTCTATATTTATATGCTTAGTTCACATTATACAAAATCCTTGGGTTTTCTAGTAGGTTTTATGGCCAAAATCATGTCTATCATGTCTTGTTCTTTGTAGGGTTGTACTGTTTTAGCTGCCCAGTAGATCCCATTTTTATATATTTCCGAGATTTTGTATATTTAGGCCTGTTACCTCAAAATCCTTTTGAAGTAATAATGCTTCTCCCTTCAGGTTTGCAAAGCTGGTCAGTATTACCCTTCATCTTTAGTTCCAAGTTACCTCATGCCAGTATTTTTTAGAGGTTTATCTTAATCCTTCTCACTGGACATATTTAAAAGGAGGTCTTTCAGCAGAGAGCAGCAGAAGGCAGCTTCCCCTTCCCTGTCCTCCTTGCTCTTCCCTCCTCACTTGGCCCTTTGTTAATCCAAATAGGTTCATCCTAATTGAATGGTGGTGTGGAAGTTAAGGGTTATCTTCAGTGGTGCAGAAGTGAATTATTGCCCCTTTGATTACCTGGGGTATTTGGTTTAAGTTCTGCTGTGAGGGCAAGATGACAAAAGAGTTGAGGTTCTCTGTAGTAGATGAAGTCAAGTCTTCTTTTGTGAGAATTGTAGCATCTCTTTGTTGCTTCCTTTGTAAATTCTACATACAGACCTGCGGTAGGGAGAATATTGGGATACATGTGGGGTCTTCATACTTGACTTAAAAGTTGAAGCCTCTGCACCTTTTCCCTTATTTCTATTCTCATACTCTTGGGGTGGTGGGGTGGGTCCTGGATCTGTCTCTGCACCATCATCAGAGGATGGTCTCTTCCTTAAATTTAGTCACTCCATTTCTAATATTGAGTTATTGGTTCTGGGGGGTTGGGTGGAAGGATATATGTTGCTATGGTTCTAACTCTAATTTTGCCAAGGAAAGTTCCATCAGTGTGCAATGTAAGATCAGTCATTGTCTAGTCTAGATGTACATTTGAGTTTCGGATCTTCTCTCTAATCTGAGGATCATAAAAAACTCACAGAAGGAGATGGGGATGAGGGTGGAGGTGGGGAAGGGCATTTCAGAGTGAAGGCATTGTAGGTTTAAAGTAATAAAAACACCCCCAGGAAGCTTAGATTCAGTTTTCTAAAATAACTGAAAACCAACTGATATTAACTGTATTAGTCTGTTTTCACACTGCTGATAAAGACATAACCAAGACTGGGTAATTTATAAAGAAAAGTGGTTTAATGGACTCACAGTTTCATGTGGCCGAGGAGGCCTCACAATCATGGTGAAAGGCAAAAGCCACATCTTACATGGCAGCAGACAAGAGAGAATGAAAACCAAGCAAAAGGGGTTTCCCCTTATAAAACCATCAGATCTTGTGAGACTTATTTACCACCACAAGAACAGTATGGGGAAAACCACCCCCATGATTCAGTTATCTCCCACCAGGTCCCTCCCACAACACATGAGAATTATGGGAGCTACAATTCAAGATGAGATTTGGGTGGGGACACAGCCAAACCATATCATTAACAATATTAGCAAATAGACATAATACTTACTCTGTCCCAGGCACTATTCTAGGGCCTTGATGTAAATTAACTCATTTGATCCTTACAACCACCGTCTGAGGGATGCATTACTTTTTTCCCATTTTTCAGATGAGTAAACTTAAGCACAGAGAAAGTGATTGGCCACAGTGCATAGCCATCATTTGGAGAAGCAGGTATTCAAGTTGAAGCAGGCTGAATCCAGAGGTTTTGCTTTTAATTTCTTGGCTGTGTTTAGAACTTTGGAAATTCAAGCTGGTTGACTCTATCGTACTGCCAAGGAATAGTATACTTATCTATAAGCAGGGACATTGCTCATTATTGTACATTCTTTCACCTCAGAGCAACAGCAAGGCAACTTGTGATTGATTTTTTACTTTAATGAAGGCCACTCAGTATGTAGAGACATTTTTCCCCAAGACATGATTTTGACTAGAGGTTTCTAAAATTGTGTAAATTTATATGTAGCATGCAAGGAATACCATTTTGCTTTCTCCAATTTTTGGTGAGAAATAAAGGGACATATCTGTAATACTTAACACAAACTCAATTTTATAGTCAATTCTGTATATAAGCAGAGCATTCCATGTTTATGTCTGCTTTTTTTTCTAGGCAATTAGGAAAAACATTTATCTTCTAAATTATACTGTACGTTCTTGTTCTGAGTAAGCAGTGGTTCCAGTGGTTTCTTTGAAAAGTCTGCTTCTAGAATTAGATGCATCATTTATATATATATTTTTACTTTCCGTCTTTTGATCAGTTTGGACTCTTTCCTTCTTTGCTGTGTTGTCATGAGTAGATTTAAATTTAGTTGTGAGAGCACATGAAAATGTGGCACCAGGACCATTTTGGGGTTAACAAGGGAGGGCTTCATACAGTCGCGCAAATATTATAATTGGGGTGTAGATTCCTGATAAAATTAGCCTGGAGAAATCAGACTAGCTGTTAGTGCCAAACATCTGGCTAGTAGAGAACAGTTTTTTGGCTTTTCACATTGCCACCCTACCAAGTCCATTGTCTCTATTATTTAATGCCTCCTAGGGCTAGAATTCCACACAGACAGTGATGTTAACTACTATTTGTGTCATCATCTAGCTCATTGTTATCCCTAGGGGATGAATGAGAAAGCAAGAGAGGATTACCATTTTGCCATTACTATTTCAAAACACCTTCTATTCAATCTTTTCTTTGGGTCAGCCAGTGTTCTCAGTTAATGAGTGGTGGGCCCAATGTGGTAGCATAATAGGAAATACATTTTTATGAGAAAGCACTGTTGGGGTTTCCAGCCATTCCTAAAACCTCACTTGCAATTCCATGAGTAGTAAAAAGAGGATTCAGGCCACCTCTATACCTACTTCAGCTTTGCTTCTTGTGAATAAACAAATGCAAAATAGTTCTAGTTTGCCCAAACATTTTGAACTTCTAAGGTAAATACCAGATGACCTATACATTGGGAAGCAGGATTGCTAAGAGACCTTAGTGAGTGCCATAGTTGTTTCTTACAGCTGGTAAGTAGAATGAACTTTTAAGTGGCCTTACCAGGAAGGCTGAGTCCATAAGTGAATGGTCAGGAATCCTAACCTTTACAGAGGGAATGTTTTATAGTTGCTATTGGCAATAACAGTGTAAAATTGCTGAGAATCAAAATACTGCTAGCCACAATGCCATTCCTTCTGACGCCCTTACCCTACACATACCCCTGGAGAACTAATATAAATTTAAAACCTGAAATTACTCCTGTTTTCCCATTTCCCTCCTTATTTTCATAGACAACCACCTTTTCTTTTGACCCCTACTATCTTTCTTTCCAGTGGGAAAGTGGCTCCTTTATGTGAGCCAGTATGCAATTCCAGCCAACCTAATAAACAATTCTGTTCTCTTTCTTATGAAACAGCTTATTCACATGGGCAAGGCCTCGAATGTCTAGTGTTACCAGCTTCCCCAGTGAATGACTATTACGCCCACTGCCAGGGAGCCCCTCTGCCTCCCTCCTACCTGAGCAGATCCTGGGCAGTTCATAGTGACTCAGTTTACGTTCTCAGTTTTCTCCTTCTGGTGACCTCTTGATCCTGGGTTATTCTACTTAAGGTCGTTAGGACAGACTGTAATCATTATATTTATCTCTGGGAATCTTATTAACTCTGTAATTTTTCTGCTGTCCAGATTCGCCTCGTCACTTCTGGTGGTATCATTTAATCTGCTGGCTGCTGAGTGCTGCCGGGATCATCTGCATTCTTGTAGCACATGAACACTACACTGTCGATGTGATCATTGCTTATTATATCACAACACGACTGTTTTGGTGGTACCATTCAATGGCCAATGAAAAGGTGAGAGCAGTGAAGATGCTTGGATAATTTCTTTGCTTTGAATGCAGTGGACCCTTTTCATGTCGTGGGGTTTTAGATAGCTTAATTGGGGATAACTGATGTTGCCACATTCACTTAAACATATATCCATTACTGCTTTTTAAAATAAAGCAAAGAACTTCACAAATATGAATGCCATTTATGGATAAAGATGCCATAAGGTTATGGAGCACAGTGCATCACTAACTCAGGTAATTTATACTAGAATGAAGAAATATATGTACTAAATTAAAATTTAGGAACCTTCTCTGTAAAAGCATTGTAGTGCAGCTGGGTAAGACATAATCCCTGCCTTCAACTTAAATTAATTTTAAGGAGAAGGTAACAGCTATTTTAAAAAAAAATTTTTTTTTATTTTGAGACAGTCTTGTTCTATTGCCCAAGCTGGAGTACAGTGGTGCAATCTTGGCTCACTGCAACCTCTACCTTCCAAGTTCAAGCGATTCTTGTGCCTCAGCCTCCCAAATTGCTGGGATTACAGGTGCACCCCACCACGCCTGGCTAATTTTTATTTTGCATTTTTAGTAGAGACAGGGTTTCACCATGTTGGCCAGGCTGGCCTTGAACTCCTGACCTCAAGTGATCCTCCTGCCTCAGCCTCCCAAAATGCCAGGATTACAGGCGGGAACCACCTTGCCCGGCTGATAGCAGCTATTGTTTAAAATCACAAACTAAATAGCTTATGAATGACTGGATTTGGTATATCCTCTAGTGATAATGATGCTCTCTGGCTTCCCTTCCGATTCTTCCTCATTTGCTACTGCTGCTTCCTTGTTTCCAGATACCCTTTTCTTTCTTCTCCCATTCATACTTAAAGAGCTAGCTCAAATGCCACCTCTTTTTTCTGTAACTCTTGCTCTCTTCCTCTGGTCCCAAGGCAGAATTATTCCTCCCAGTCTCTGTTTTCTCCTAGTCTTGGTAAGTGTCCTTGGTATAATAGAGTTAGTCTGTGTACCATGACTTACTTATCTTTGAATAGACTTGCCATATTGTCAATTTGGAGAATTTGTGAGCAATTGAAATATGACATTTCCAAAGGATCGACATCCAACTCTTGGTGTCCACTAATAAATGCTCTTTCTATGGATTACTTTATTTCTCTTTGTAGCTCTGTTTCCTATTTTGTAGTCTCCTATTTCCATCTTCCTTCTTACACTTCCATCTAGTTGACTGCTGACAACACTGAACCAAAATTTTCATCTTTCCTCTTAAATGTGTTCAACCTTCTGAGCTCTTCTTTCACTCTTTGACCCCTAGATTTGATCACTCACACATCCTGAAAATTATTCCTCCTGAGTAATTCTGACATCCACTCCCAGAGTCTCCATTTTTACTGGAATTGCAGGCAGAAGAAATTGCATGAGCCACAAAGGAAGGAAAGACACCTAGGTGTGTTAGGGGACCGGAGTCATGGTAGAGTTAGGGAAAGGACATGAAAATCATTACTGCTATGTGATCTGAATTCTGTTTTCCTTAGGTTACAGTGAATGCCAATTTTAAGAAAATAATTAGGATGCAAATTGAGAAAGATATGTCTCATTTTACTTTTTTTCTACCATTTGCAGAACTTGAAGGTCTCTTCACAGACTAATTTCTTATCTCGAGCATGGTGGTTCCCCATCTTTTATTTTTTTGAGAAAAATGTACAAGGCTCAATTCCTTGCTGCTTCTCCTGGCCGCTGTCTTGGCCTCCTGGCTGCTTCAAATCATCATGCAAAAAGTATTCACGGGTTCAGAAGATTGGTGAAGACAATGAGAAATCGACCTGAGGAGCAAAACAAAGGCATCAGCTCTTACACCAAAAGAGTTAACGCTGTAACCAAAGGTATAGTTTTGTTTTTTATTTTAGGAGAACTGACTGGTAAATGAAGAAATGGACCAAATTTTGTGTAAATGAATAGAAAGATGAACAAAGTATTACCCTTTGACTGCTTTTCTTCTTCATCCCGAGAAAGATACATTCTCTTGCAGCTCTTCATTCATTGGTGACAAGCCCCCACCCTGGGACTTTACTAATGAGCTTGTTAAAGAGGTGCCAAAGAACATATTCCTCCTTTCTTTATTCTTTCTCCACCAAAACCCTCTACTTCAGAATTTTTTCAGGATATTTTTCCTCCCAAGGTCAGAAGAATGTGTTAATATTTTAAATAAAATATCTGGACATCTACAGCCACTGTGTAAATAGAACAGCCTAATGTTGAGAGTGGTTTCTAGCATTAGGTTTAGCAAGGGGAAGATCCACGGGTTGTGCGTCAGCTTTGGGTGAATTTTGTTTCTACCCTGTCACGTGGAAAGTTAGGGTTGAGTCCAGGAGTGCACGCTGCTGCTGCCACCCAATGCGCTATGTATCACTTTTAATTTGTTTTGTTTTGTTTTGTTTTGTTTTTAAAAGATCATTTTATCTTAAAAAGGAAAGCTGATCCAAGTAAACATGAAAGTATTTGACACACCCCACAGATTTTACATGTGTGTAAACGTTTCACTTTAAAATCTCTATGACAGACACACAGGAAACATGAGGTGGTTTCTGTTAATGAGTGGCCCTTGAATACACACTTAGATGCTGTCTGCCCTGTAAATTTGGATCTGGTGCCCCAGGGCAGTCAACTCTTCTAGCATAGGCTGAAAACACATGTGTGTCAACTGAGGCTCACGCCACTTGGGGGATGAGCCTGTTTCCCTTCCAGGCCAGGCCCTGGTGTGAGATCAATTTTAGGGCTCCTAATTGGAGCACAGAAATATATTTGGTCAAATTTCATTGAAGGTGATTTCTTCCTTTTTATATTGTACTTTATGGAAAAACCAAGATGGAACCTGAAAGTTAATGTATCCTTGCTAAAAATGTGTCCTTGCTTTTAGCAAGAGACTCAGCTTCTCATAACTAGTCCTAAGGACATATGCCACAATTGAGTAATTTTACTTCTACCCTGTGAAAATAACATGGTGCTGCACTATAATATACTCTCAGAATCAGTGTGTTAGTTACAGCTACACAGTGAAGGGGGATAACTGTTTCTAAATTTCTTTAAGGTGATGCCAAAAAAATGGATTAAAAAAATCTGATCAGATTTAATGTTATCAGATTTAGTGCATTATTTAATGCTATTGAATCTTTTGGATAATTCTTGGCTTAATTTCTTAACTACTTTTGAAGGTTGATTTGCAAGACTTTTAGAAACCTTAGAAAAGTTTTAAGGTTGCAAAGTTATCAACACTAGGGCAGAGGGTGGAGAGGCCAATGCGGGTAGAAGGAGGCAGTTATGTTTATATTGAAGGTGAAATTTGTCTTTCATTTGGAATGGAAAACATTCCCAAATTTATCATTATAAACTAGTCAGCCTTGACTGCACAAAATTGACCTTTAAATTGCTTGAGAAAAGCACAATGCAAATCGTTCAGAAGGGTCAACATTCTTCGGTGCTAAAATCTTGTGTATGTTTTCAGAATGGCTTTTTCTGTGTGTCATAGAATAATCACTAAAGGAAAGGTAGTTGAATTTAATGTCATGAAGCAAGACTCTTTAATTCAGTTATTTTAAACAAGAATTAAAACCCCAAACATTCTTGGCAGGCTTTGAAGCACACTGAATTTTCCAGTATTTCTTATTAAATACACCAATAATAAACATATGCCTAGTTTAGACATAATTCTATATAATGTTCACTTATATTCATTTATTAAATAGCAAAACTTGTGCAAGAACAAGGTGTTCTACTTGAAAACACTGATTTTTAAGTTCCTGTTGCCTGATTATAAAGAAAATAATCTGACACAGAAGCCTGGATTTTACTCTCCTAACACTGGTGTTTTCCTTGAGCCTCTAATTCAAATAAGACAAATCGATACACCTTACAACCTTATTCAGCTGTGTCTGGATAACCCACCTTTCGTCTATTGAATAAAAAAAAAATGTTTAAACTTAATAAATTAAAAAAAAATTGTGTACCAATTACTACAGACCCCCTGAAACAGTAAGCCTTGGATTTTAGTCAAGTAATCCAGTTTTTTAATTTAAAAAAAACCCCATCACCTTTTAAAGAACTTTAAAAACACCTGTGATGCCAATGTGGCCACTGCCACTGCCATGTCTTTACACGCATGTGTCGTATAGCTCTGTCATTCAGTTGAGGAAGTCCATGGTTTGCAAATAAGGGTGGGAGAATCAAAATTTCAGGATGGTAAAAAAAAAAACATAGTAAAACCCATTTACATATAGAAAATGTATATGTAAACTTGACCTTCAACCCAGTGTGCCACTTTGGGATATAAAACAAGTATGATCTTGCCTTTGAAATCATAAATGTTTGGAGCACCTATTCTTTGTCAGTTAAGATACATATCTTATTATCCCTTTTTTTGTTTTAAGTCTGTGCTCCTGTTGAAGCTTTTCCTGTAATTTAGGTTGTCTGTGAAATACCTATAACATATAATTCCTACAGAGTATGCCACATTTTTTTTTCTAAATGATTTCAAATGAAGTTCTCTCAGATCCTATCATTGAACTCGTCCACTAGATCTGAAAATAAAGCATCCTTTCCCGAGTCCACTTGAACTAATTGTGAATTTGTTACTTAACTTACTGGCATCTTGGGAAACAAGTTTTGCTGTGGAAGGAAGGCTGTGTTGAGAGTGAGCATTGAGTCTACTCTGGTTTGTGGATGACATTGCATTAGGGTTCTTTGCTGTATTACCAGTGCCCCCTTGTGGCAATATACTTTATGACTAGGAATGCAAACACCACTTTTAAAAGCCTGTTTTCAAGTTTTTGAAAGGCATTTGTTTTCTGTTATGTGTGCCAATAATCTGAAAGTATCATGTGAAAGGAATTATTTTAAAAGCATTTTAAACCTTTCCCAAAGGTAAAATGTGCTCAGATGATAGGCACCTGTAATTCTAACCTTTTATCCATTTGATCAAAGAAAATTTGTAGAACATTTTTACCTCTCATGATCACAATCATTAGTGTCTCCCTTTATAACGATCTATATTTTGTTTACTTTGAAACACCAAATTTGTTGTCTTGTTTTTTTTTTACATGACAGAACTCATGCAGTTTCTTTTTTCATTGAAAGTTCATATCTTGCCCCTTAAATAGTTTGAACATTTCTTTCTTAATTATTTTTTTGTTCTGCACTGTAAAACTGATTAAAACTTTAAGCCAATCTTAATGCACTAGCCTCTGTAGTGTAAGGAAGTGTGAGAAGGAATTTCTTAATGAGTTTACATGTTTAAATCAAGCATATTATAAGTTATATGCCATGTGTTGAAGGCTTTTCTATTTATATATATAAAGATTTTTAGTATTTGTTTTTAATGTCCTTGTGTTGCAATAATTTAACGCCTTTGACTCAGTTGCTGAAAATATTTCTTCTATAAAGAAGTGCTCTTGACTTCAACACCCAAACACTGAAAATCATGTCAATGGTACCCAAAGATAAGTTTTTATACAGATACACACCTTATAAGTTCTGATTTATTTTCTTACTCATTAATCTATGCTATGTTCTAAATAAATCATGAATGAGAAGAGTGCTTTATTGTGGAATTATTTAAAACTGTCCTTTAAAAGAAAAAGAGGAAATGATGAACAAAAACTAATCTAATTGCCAAGTTGGAATTCATTATTTAATTTACCTCCTATGCAATGATTAATGCTGCAAAACGTATGGTTATGTTACCGTATATTCACAAAAGAAATATTATTACAAGGTTTCAGAGGTAGCCAATTGCATTCTTTTGGAAATTTACTGTACTGTTTCAATGTGTTAAGTGCCTTGTTGTAAAGTAAAATTTTAAGTCTAGAATTCATTATTTTCCTGACATATATTTTTCATTATATCTACTGTATGCTATTGTGATAGTTTTATGAAATGCTTACATTTTAATCAAGTATGTAAATTTCAGAAGCTCTTTTCTCCTACCCACCAGTACCTTAATCATTGGTTTGTCACATTGGATTGAAATTCAGGTTCCTTTTTTGATAAAGAGGAAATTTGTTTTCCATGCTTGTGATTTTGTGTTTGTAAACATTTCAGGAGGAATTTAGGAGTGTAACTATAGTTTATACTTCTAAAATGTTGTCTTACATTTACATTTTTAAGTGCCTAACTGTTGAAACTGATTTATGTTTCTCTTCTAAAGGGGATATGTGTACTTGGTTTCTAATCTCTTTGGTTTTGCTTTTTTAAAAATGCAAGAGCCTATACTTTGTATTTACCTAATAAATCACAATGATATCAACAGTCTTTTCAAAATTATTACTGTTTCTTTCCATTTACAAAATGTGTCATTTTTAAAAGAGTTCTAGTTTTAGAGTACTTGTTAAAACCACACGAGGGATATTTTCTTCAAAGACTATTTTTAAAATAAAGTAATAACTTTCAATTAATGGATTTAAGGTGAAAAATAATTCAGAACAATACAAGGTCATTCATGGAGAAGAAAATCACACATTCCATGATTCTGATTTTCACTGTTCACAAGAGGACAAAGTCACTCATGAAAAGCGGACCCCTTTCTGTCACTAGGTCTCCTTATGCCTTCACAAGACAGAAGCCTAAGGTAATGTCCTCAACTGGGGTTTGCTAGACATTGCAACAGCAAGGTGCAGAAAGTTGGTTTTGAACCTGCTGATGACAAATGCCCCTCCTCCAAGATAAATTTTGTAAAAGCAATTCAGTGGGGTGAAGTGAATAGGATAAGATAAGAAGGTTCAAAGAGTAAGTTACAGGAGATAGTCCATGCTTTATCCTTGGATTGTCTAGAAATGATAGAGCATAGATCAGAATAGTTTTTCTGCCACCTCCACTCAGACCTTGGATGAAAAGCTCATCACAGTGATGTTCTGATTATCCTGTGGAAACACTGGCATGCTGATTTTGCTGGCCACATAGCTTCAAAGGCTGCCCTTATCTAGAATGCAGTGTGCAAGAAACTAATGTGAACTCTTGTTTGTCGTGCAAGGGACTAACAGGAACTTTTACTAAGGGGCTAATTCATTCTGGGTTCCATTTGTTTTCTTCATACAAAAGCTCTTGAGTGTGCCTCCTATGAGAGAATAAAACTCTCTGGGCATTTTTGAAAGTGCTGAGGATAGTGAAGTCTTTTAAAGTAGTACTCTGTCTCTTACTCCAATAAGGAATCAATAGGAACTTTACAACTGCAGTTAAAGTGGCATTTTCAATCACACTAATCATGGGCAAGTTTCATAAGTAATAAAACCACTTTGAAACAAAAAAGAATGGTGATCATTCATGCTTGGTTTGAGATCTCTACCTCACAGCTGTTGATTTTAGAATCAGAGTGTAGTGGTGTGTCCAAACAAGTTTTGCCACCAGGATTAGATGCTAGTCTCACTAGAAAGTGAATTTAAATTCACTTACTTCAACCCCCATCCCATTCCCACCACATTTAAAGGTAGCAAAGTATCATCTGTATGATCCATATGCCTACTCAACGACGGACTCAGCTTCAAGTCTGTAAGGTTTTTTGATTCCAGGTCATTACAGTCTTGACCCTGCGCAATGCCTTCAGTCTCTTCAGATGATCATGCTATTAAGAGGTCACCACAACTTTTAATAATGTTCATCTTCTCTGATATTTTGAATCTCCTGCTGAGACATAGGAAGACAGGAAACTAGACTATGTTCACAAACCATTTGAGTGATTCTGTGTGCCATGCACTAGAGCTGCTGATACATACAATTCCTGACATCAAAGTGGGAATGTCTGCACTGTAACACTTGTCCATAACTCCTAAGTCACATCATAATAAATTCAATTGCATAAAATATATGCAAGTCTTAGGAAATGTTTGTAAGTTTTAAGAAGTGTTGGTCAGGGCCTTCACAGCCAGCTAGATGTTCCAGAAGTGGAAGTGAATTGCTTTTCTGGATGCATTGTCACTGAATTTTACCATTATTTTCTATTTAATATTTTAGTAAAATCGCAAAATAGACATCAAATTTTATCTCATCCAAAGGTTGGGAGAGGTGATGTGCCATGGTCTCTGAGCATCCATCCAGACATTTTTTGCTGGGCATGCTGAGTGCAAGGCCCTAACTCCTGTTTCCCAGGCCATTTCTCAGGATTGTATTTGCAGTAAGCAATGTTAAGTAATGAAGTAGCATATCACCCTAAATAAGTCTTTTTTTCTGTTTACTGTAAAGCAGTAAAAACGCCAAGCTCAGTGGTCCTCAGTTGAGTTGCAAACCCACTACATATGTAACATCTGTCTTGACCTCTCCAAGTCATCCCTATGGGATTTGAGAGACAAGGGAGCCAAAGGGACCATGCTGACACTTTGGCTACTGCTATGCTATGCGTAGTGAAGTCCTTTGTCTCTGACTCAGGAGTCTTGTGTCTTCTCCCAGCGTCCAATGAAACAGGAATCAGGCTAACTTGTGGGCTTGTAAGTAAAGTCACAGATGCTTCAGAAACTGACATGTAAATTTTATTTTCTTCTAATACATAAGAATATCAGAAGTGTAATACTGTATTACTAATATAAGTTAGGATAGTAATGGATTATGTATTACTATGTGTGTGTGTATGTATATATATATATATAATGCACATTTAATCCATATGTGGCACCTGTAATCAAACAGCATTTTACCGTTAACGCTTGACATACATTCTTTAATCTTCACAAAACCCTGTGAAGTAAGCAAGGCAAGAGAAGGTGACCTCATTTTATGACATGAAAGGGTTCATAAATGTTAGAGCTAGAACTTGAGTTTTGTTTTTGTGGGCTACAGCTTGCTGCCTCCCTGTCATAATTACTATGGTCACCATCACCGTTTGTTAGGGTTTTGTTAGGAAATTAGTTTCAGAAGCAAACTGTCCTTGGGCCAGGTTC